TTTACTATATATTTAGAATATAGTTATTAGTTATCTAAAGTTACCATCTAATACCAAAGGTCATGTTAAATTTAAAATTTTTAAAAATATAGCTAATTGAGGACAAATAAAATTAAGTTTCCTTCTTTAAAAATAAAATTTTTCTTTCCCCCAAACTTAAATTATTAAAAGATTTTGCATGAAAAACTTAAAAAGAAATAAAGGGTGAAAGAAAACATTCAATACATAAAGAAAAGACTTACCTGTTGAAGGTTTTGATACTGAAACTAATTTTAAAATATTGCAGGTGCTAATATGAAAAGCTACAAGACTTAAAACATTAAATAACACATAATACATATAAAAATTTGCTGAGAAAGAATTTACTACAAATAAATTTAACAAAGTACTAAAAACTAGCAACAATACTAAAATAATTTCCAATGTCAAAGTAGTTTTACAATACTACTGTTCACAATATAACATAACATCTAAAATAAAACAAAGTATCACACTCTAAAAGCAAACAATAATAACAATAAAGTAGAACCAACTATAAACTAAACAAAAGATCAAACTAAAACATCACCAGTCATCATCTTCATCTTCTTCTACATCAAAGTTTTGCTATTGATACGGGGTAAACACAGAGTGAGTAGGAAACTGAATTGAGTGGTCACCCCTTATGTATCTAGCCATCACATCATCATAAGCAGCATCATATTAAACTTCTGCCTTGTGAAATCATCATTATGTGCATTTCTGGCTTCCATATTTTCTATTTTGTTTTCCATGTCCCTGGAGAGTAGGGGTACTAGAAGTAGAAGGAATATCTCTACTCCTACTTCCAGATCTCCATCCAACATGAGATTCATAAGTTTTAATATTTGCAGGCCCAATAGGTTTTATATGTTTAATCCTTTCCTCATTCATTCCAAAATCAACTCCTGCATTGTTCACATAGTGTGAAGATCAGAGCAGGGTGTGCTAAACCACCAGTAGTTTCACCCAAAGCAATAAAACGAGTGTTTCTATAAACAATAGAGCCTACATCTATCATTCTCATCTGCTGGATACAGAAGTTCAAGATGGCTCTATCTTTTGTAACCTCACTATGATGATTTATTGGTATCATTTTAGTAGATATAAAATAATGTCAGGCCTTAGATACTACATTTAACATAGAAAGAGGAAAGTTTACCTTAACATTATTCTTCACCTTCCAAGCTCCTCTTCCATCAGTAAGAAAAGAAATAACTTCATCTAAGGCCTCATTTGTAGCAGAAAATGATTTGTACTGACAACTATACACATCCTCTAACTGATAAAATTCAT